CGCCAGCGTCGTCAACGTCGTCGTCGTCGTCGTTGTCCCCCTCCAAGGTCGGCGGCACTGGCCGTCCATCAGGCCTTCGCAATAGAATGGGCGGGCGGTGGCAGCGAAGCGTTTTGAATCATCCCTCTCCTCATCACCCGAATGATAATATGTTTGGTATTGCATTTAACATGGTGAGCATGAGACCTCAAGTCGGGTCGGCATAATGGCGAACAACCAGCGTGACACATAGTTGGTGGAGGCTGCATCTATCAAACTACACCAGCTGCTGGCGCGGTGGACGATTCAAACGCAAGTGGTGGGTTACGTGTGACTCTCCCCACAGGTTCCTTGGCAGATCATTTTGGCTCGGTAGTTCTCACCGCGCCTGTGGTCAAGGCCATGCGCAGCACCCTGGCTTGCTGGACTGCACGTCTGCCCAGGCTGAGGAAAAGGAGCAAAACAAGCTTCGGCGCCGACACGCTCAATCTTACCAGAGGAAGAGGAGGGGAAGCGTATAGCCTGCAATGGCGGGCGCAAATGTCCCGAGGAGTCCATCTTGCGCGCGATCATACAGAGGCCGACAGGCGCCACTGGCGCTGCTGGGGGAGCAGGGGGGAGGAGGAGGAGGAGGAGGAGGAGGAGGAGGAGGAGGAGGAGGAGGAGGAGGAGAAGGAGGAGAAGGAGAACGACGACGATGCTTGTTGCAGGGCATTGGGGGACATAATGACCAAGTACTTACAGGAGCAGTGTTTGAACGGTCCACGTAACAAAGGCGCAGGCATCAGTCTCAGTTTGCTCAAGGCAGGCCCAGACCCGGCCACCAAGAGATTCCCTCACTTCCACCCCAAGGCGAGATGCGAGGAGTCCCCCCGCGCGCAGGGGAGATCCAGGCGAGGCTCCGCCGCCGCCCCGAGGCCGCCGAGCTCGCCCAGGGATCTCAACTTGTCAATTGTTCGTTGTGTTTGCGGGAGTCTCATTGCGTTGTTTCGTGTACAGGTGTTGACTCTCTTCTAATGTCGGAGATGTCGAAGGCGGAAACCGACGACGACGACGACGACGACGACGACGACGATGACGACGACGACGACGACGACGACGGCGGCCCCCCGACGTGGCCCCCACGACGGCCCCCCGACGTGGCCCCCACGACGTCCCCCACGCGGCCTCCCACGACGGCCCGCGCTGGTAAAATCCGGCAACTTAAGGAGTACCCCCAGTCGCACGCAATGCCGCCAAGGCCCAGAAGATAATCAGCGACGGAAAGGCAGCACGGAAGTCAGCGAAGAACATTCCAGACTAACCCACCACGCCCGCAGTCAGGAAGCGGCGAAGACCCCACCGTTCAACGTCGACCACATTGCCCAGGCGCCCCCGACCAGGAACACCCCCACGCTGCCACGGATGAGCGGTCGACGCAGCCGCTCTTTGCACTCCGACCGAAGACGCATCGCTCAAAAGTTCAGCATCAAGGATGCGAGTGCGAGGGGGCGGATCTCCTCTGGCGGACAAACCAGCCCAGCAGGATTTCTCATCCTCTTTCGCACACCTGGGTCGGTAACACGTGCGTTCGCGCATCATCGCATCAGAAACGGCTCCGCCTGAAGCCCGACGCATCTCATGGCAGACAGAACAACCTCAAAAAAATGTAAGAACCCCCCCCCCCCCGGTGCTCTAAGCACCGCACAACAGCAAAAATCCAGCGGGTGCGTTTCGCCGAACGATAACTTTAGCACCGCGCCAAACAACAAAAAGCAATTCCCCCCCAAGCTTGTTTTCAACATATAATTGTCGCTTTTGTGTCGCGCAAATTCGCTATGGAAAAATTGCACGAGCTTCACGGATTGAGGGCGGTTCGGTTTTAAAATATAGTTATCGCCTTCGCGCCACGCGCATTCGCTTCTAAACATCTGTACGAGTTTCACGGATTCAAAGCGGATTTTGCATGAAAAGAAAAATCGAGCTATCGTTTTAGCGCCGCGCCCGTTCGTTATAAAAGATGGCACAATATTCGTGAATTGAGGGCGGCTCGGTTGCAAAATGTAACTCTCGCCTTCGCGTTGCGCACATAAGGTTAAAAAAAACGCACAGGTGTTTCACGGATTGAAGGCGGTTCGTTGTCAAAACTTAACTCTCGCCATAGCGCCGCGCACATCCGCTATAAAAAACTTGCACGCGCTTCGCGGATTGAGGGCCGTTCGGTTTCAAAATCTAGTTTTTGCCTCAGCGCCGCGCACATTGCTTATTGTACAAGAAAATGTGCACGACCTTAACGGATTGAGGGCGGCTCGTTTTCAAAATCTAGTTCTCGCCCTAGCGCCGCGCAATTGTGCGCGGGCTTCACGGATTGAGGGCGGTTCGGTTTCAAACTATACCTCTAGCCTTGGCGCCGCGCGCATTCGCGTGTTTTTTTCTCGCGTGCACGAGCTTCGCGGATTGAGGACGGCTCGTATTCAAAATGTAATTCTCGCTTTGGCGCCGCGCGCACTCGCTATGCAATTTGCACCAGCTTCGCGGATTGAGGGCGGCTCGGTTTCAACT